TCATGCTTCCTGCTGGCAGGGCGGGGGAGGAGGGTGAAGAAACCCCGATCTTCCCCACCAGATTAAACTCTGCCAGTTCCCCAGCAGGCTGGGGAGGAGCACAGGGGAGAGAGAGCAGCAGCACATGGGGGGCAGTGAGCCCAAACATACCCTGGAGAGGGGGGGGCAGCAGGGCCTGAGCCAGGTTCCATGCAGGCAGCAGTTTAAAAATGCCGAGGTCCAAGAGCAGCTTCTCGGCTATGACCACCCCTCTCTCTCTCCCTTCCAGCAGAAGCAGCAGCAGCAACAGCCACTGTAAAAGCTGCCGCCTGCACAAGAGGAGGTGGCGGCTGCAAGGCACCGGAACAGAGCAGTCCTGCAGGGTGAGGAGGGGCCATGCGTGGGGGTGGGGCAGCCACAGTAGGTGATGGAGCGGTCAAAGACACACACCCCCAGAAGCCCATCCTCGCCAGCAAAGCCAGGAGCTGCCTACAGGTTCTGCAAGGGGTGGGGGAGCAGAATTTTTTCTTGGAACCCCAAGTTCCACTTCACAGAATCCCAGGGTTCCATGGCGCACCATTTGGAAAACACTGCCATAAAGGACTCGTGCACCACCCTTTGCACCCTGCGCATCCATACATCTGTGAATAGACATAAGCAGTACTGATATCAGTCCTATTAATGGCTACACTAACTGGCCTGACTGAATCAGCAACCAGACAATAATCTGACCAGGAACCAAACCCACCCCCAAAGATGCAGGAAATCTTCAGGCTCAGCCTCTCAACCACCGTCAGCCAATAAACAAATTTAAGGCCCTGGTCAAGGACCTGGAAAACTCCGTAGAAGTTTCAGTGTTGACTGAGACTATGTTCACCTTCCAAAACCGCCTCCGCCTATTTTACCACCAGTGGGTCACTATTACCTCAGACAGTTGGGTGCTTGACATCATTCTTTCTGGTTACACCATCCCTTTCCTCTCCAAGCCATCTATTCACCTTCTCTCCCCATCCCTCTTCAGGGATCACAAGTCTCTGCTATGACAGGAGACGCTCCATCTGCTAGATCTGGGGGCTATAGAACCGGTCCCAAGACAGCACAGGGGTAGAGGGTTTTACTCTCGTTACTTTCTAACCCAAAAAAAGTCAGAAGGCTGGAGACCCATTCTAGACTTGCACAATCTGAACAAATTCATCAAGACACAGCACTTTCGCATGGTCACTTTATCCACCATTATCCTGGCATTGAAATAAGGGACTGGTTTTCAGCCCTTGACCTCCAGGATTCTTATTTTCATGTTCTAAAACATCCTGCTCCCAGGAGGTTCCTAAGGCTCATGGTAGGCCTGGATTATTACCAATATTGAGTCCTATCGTTTGGTCCATCTATGGCTCCTCAAGTTTTTTCCAAAGTGCTCACCATAATCACAGCATTTCTTCACTCCATGGGAATAATTATATTCCCTTATCTTGATGACTGCCTGCTCACGGCCACATCGCAGTCCGAGGCAGCATGCATGACTGCAATAACCATACAGGGCTTTCAGAAGCTTGGCCTCTGAATAAACTGGGAAAAGTCATCTATCTGTCCCTCCCAGATCATACAGTTTATTTGGGCCATCTGGACTCCATGTTAACATGAGCCTATCTACCTCACAACAGGTTTCTTGCCGTCCAAACTCTGGCTACAACACTTTATTTTACCACATGAACCACAACTAAGGATTGTTTACAGCTTCTCAGTCATATGTCAGCTACAGCCTTTGTGGTACCGCATGCCTGATTCCACATGTGTTGCCTACAGATTTGGTTCTCCACAGTATAAAAATCTCTACAGCACCCCACGTTGCTCCTGCTTACCAGACCTCACGCGGTCAAGGCATCCCTCCTCTGGTGGACCGAACAATCCAATCTCTGCATGGGGATTCCATTCCTCCCACATCATCCCTCACGCACAATCACTACAGACGCTTCACGTACAGGCTGAGGAGCTCATCTTCATGAACAGATCACTCAGGGTTTTTGGTCTCCTCAAGTGATGAGGAGACATAAACTTGCACATAAACTTGTTAGACCTGCATGCTGTGTGCAGTGCTTGCCAGCATTTCCTGCCCTCTATTGCCAGCAAACACGTGTGTTCTTACAGACAACATTGTCTTGGGAACAGGCAAGGGGAAGCCAGGTCTTGATCCCTGTGCCCCAAGGCAATAAAACTGTGGAATTTTTGCATCACCCACAAAATTCACCCCTCAGCAGTTCACATACCAGGAATCAGATATGTAACAGCTGATGCTCTCAGCATACATTTTCCCCAGCACCACAAATGGGCACTCAATGCTGTTGGGATTAATTTGAGTGCTGCTATGGACAGTGCAATCCAACCTCTATTTTGAATCCTCAGTTCCATTTTACCACCTATGAACTGTTGGGACAGCTGAGGCACAGGAACTGGTATGGACTGGATTTTCCTGCCAGGCGAACTGTTGCACTCAGCATTGAAGGTTGCATTGAAGGTTGCACACGTCACCTGTCAGCACTAAACACCTGCACTCAGCACTGCACCATCTAATGTGCACACGGCACAAACCTCCTTTTCCCGCCAAAGACCTGTTAAAAGGAGTTCTCGCCCTACGGCTCGGGTTGCTTCTTCCTCGGTTGCTGCTTCGTTGGACTCAAGGGTGGTGAGATTCTTAGGCCTCTGTGACATCTTTCAGCGTAGTCTGTAGCGAAGGCTCAGTCACTGCATGTGGGAGTGTCAAATAGAGACTGAGGGTCCTCACCATCATTGCTGGATAATACCTCAGCTGTCCAGGTTCCCGAGTTGTGGTGAAGGCCCAGGTATTGGTGTAGCTAAAGACGCAAGCTGCTAATTGTGGACATTTCGGACTGCTCTGGCGAAGGCCCAGGCCTTTCCGGAACTGCTCCGTCCCAATACCATCTAAAAATCCTCGAGGGCTATAAGTAGCCCTAGGGTTGAAGTTCCTAAGCAACCTGACTGAATCCTGTCCGGTTCCTCCATTGTACCATCTACTGATTGTAAAGTTACTTACCTGTTGAGGTTTTCTTTACTATCTTCTATCTTTCATAAGCCTGAAGACAAAGGAAATCAGAGATTTATTTTGTTTATCTTTCAAGCCCCTGGATTTAGGATATCAGAAGAGGAAGATGTAAAATAGTGTATTCTGGTGCAAAATTTAGAAGAAATGCGATAGCAACATGTGAAAAAGTAGAAATTTTTTTCCTGATAGGATCATGCCTTGGGCACCACACAGGAACTTCAACATACCCAGGCAGGGAGCCTTTATGACAGCACAATGGATCCCTTAGATACCCACTTGGCTTCTGGTGCTGTGCGGGAGCCATGGTGTGTTCATTTGCAATCTGGGATTCCAGCTGAGTTAGTCTTGTGAGATGACTGGAGTTTAGGACTCAGAAGAACTTGCCCTAAAACACAAAATGCCCATCAAACCAATTGGGTGGATATGTGGGCAAGTGATAAAGAGATTATCTGGACAAGGTATGTAGTCCAGTTTGTGATCCATTTAACCCTCCAAACTTTCCTTGTCCTATCTATTCACACGTTACCATCACTTCATTTAATTAATTAGGAAGTTTTGAATTGAATATTTAATTGCTTCTTTTTTATCTCAGCATACCTAATCCAGAGAGTAGTTGTGGAAATTATAGATGAGATTAAGGATGAATTTCCAACCATAATTGGAATACAACGGTCAAACCAGGTAATGTTACTGAATTACCATATTTCATTGCCATTAAAGTTCTGATAAAGGATTTTCCCCTTCTTGTTTAAAAATATTGTAAATGAGTTTTATCTACCATTATTTTATAAGGCATCAACCTCAACAGAACATATTCAGTCGTTAGTTATTGGAGCAGGGACAGGAACCTAGATCTCCCAAGTGGATACTCTTAATTTCTGGGTTTAAGAAAGAGTCATGTCTCACTCCTTCTCTCGTGGGGCTCCTCCACTTCCATTTTATTCTGAGCCTAATCTTGTAAGTGGCCTCTATAAACATCTATTGAATTGGGCATTTCAGGTGAGACAGGCGGGGAATGTTCTGAGCTGTTTGATGGCATCAGGATTTAGATGGCTCCATGCATATGCACTTGGCAGAAATTTAGATGCCTAGGTAATCTGTGTGTTAGATAGCATTGAGTGGAGGTTCTGAGGATCTTAATTTTGGATTTAAATCCCAGCTCAAGTGGCAGTTAGGTGCCCAATATTTCTGTGAATGCAGCCTGCAGTTCCTCCATTCCTCGTCTATGAAATGGAGATAAAATTTCCCTTTCACAGGGATGTTGTGAAGGTAACATACATCAAGGCTTGTGAGGTGCTCAGACTCTACTGCAGAGGTGGGCAAAATATGGCCCACCGTCTGGATTTGGCCTGTCCAGCATTTCTGTCCCACCCACTCAGCTGATAAGTAGAGTGTTCTAGCAGCGTGTCTTCAGCTGCACCTTCCTCCATCTTGTTCCATCCTGCAGCCAAGCAGTTCCCAGGACCCTCCCTCTAGCTGGATGGTGGGAGTACAATGCTGAAGTCAGGGTGTCTCCCTGCTCCTGTACCGCATTTCCACAATGCAGGGATCTGGGAGAGGGACGCACACAATGGAGCTGCTTCTAGGGGCCTGGAGCTAGCCATTGATGACAACTAAAATTTGTGGCCCCCCTGCGAAAAGTATTGCTCACCCCTACTCTACTGTGATAGACCCTCACCTCCTTCTATACTTTCAATTCCACTGTCACTGGCAAATCAGAATGTGAAGCAGGTCGTCAATTACAATCCCTCTCATGTAAAAATAAAATCAGAAGAAGAAGGCTTGTAAGAAGCTATTTCCTTAAATATTCCCAATAGTTGCTTCCTTTGTTCCTGTTCTCACACTGCAGAACATCTCTGGCAAAAATGCCATGAGTCGGCTGACTTCTAACACTACAAATTCATTCTCTTCTCCTTCAATTCTGCCATCTTCCTAGCTAAATAACTCTACTAAGACAATTTAACTGAATCTCACCTCCACAATCCCAGCTATCTCTGACCACTAGTCAAACCCTGTCTTCATACCTCCACTTTTCTCTGCACAGAAAATTGACAAAATACAATATGACCTTCCACTTCTCCTTTTATAACTCCCTCCTCCTGCTGCTTGTCACACACACAGAAGTTTCTTATCTGTTCTCTTCTTCTGAGCCTTCCTCTTGCTACAGTGACCTCATCTCATCCAATTTCCCTCATGCTCACTCTCATTCCTTCCCTTACATTTCTTTACCTCTTGTGCACTCCTGGCTCAGCTGACTGAGACGAGGGCAGTCTAGCCTATGGATGCAAAACCCCCTTTAATTGTCTAACTGGTTAAACATAATGTTTAACCAGTTAAAGAGGGCAGCGGGCGACTGACTTCCCACTGGCTGGCTGGCTCTGACCTTAGACCTTGGTTCTTGGGTTGCCAGCCCTTCAGGATTGTCCTAGAGTCTCCAGAAAGTAAAGATTAATCTTTAGATTATGTCATGTGCTGTAACCTCCAGGAATATGTCCAACCAAAGTTGTCAGTCCTATTGGTTCCTGATGCCTGCTCTACTACTAGGCTAGACTAGGAATGTGAATGTTAGTCTCACCCTTAATGTGTGAGGTTTACTTGTTAAGGTTAACTAGTGGGGACTAGAGCAGCTCCCCACCTGCTATGGTTAGGGAGCTACTTCAGCCCAGTGGGGGGCCCACCATGGATAGGGCTGTTTTGGTCTACCCACAGGGCTGCTGAGAAATTGAGCTGCAGTGCGCCTGCCCCCTAGCTCCCATTGGCTGGTTTTTTAGCCAGTATGAACTGAGACACTTTGTTGGAGGTGGGGGCAGCACCCAAAGCCTCCTCTCCTCCTCCCACAGCGCAGAGAGCCACAGGGAGCAGTTAGCCACTTTGTGTGGCACTGCTCCATGCCACAAGTGCAGGTGGGCCTGATTAAAAGGCTTGCCCACGCTTGTACTACAGTCGTTAGATTTCAAGGGCACTGTGATACATATAAGGACATAAGAACAGCCTTATTGGGTCAGACTAAAGTGCCATCTAGCCCAGTAGTCTGTCTTCTGATGTAGCCACAGCCAGATGCTTCAGTGGGAATATACAGAACAGGGCATTTTATTGAGTGATCCATCTCATGTGGTCTGATCCCAGCTTCTGCTACTTGGAGGTTTAGAGACACCCAGCGCCAGACCCGCTGACAGGGGAAAGAAAAGAGGGAAACTGCCCTAGGAACTGGTGACACAAAAGGGACAACACTGCCGCAGCCCCAAGCTCTTTAAATTGCTGCTGGAGTATCATGCTGAATGCTTTGGGCAGTGCTGAGAGCTGGAGAGGGAGGCATGGTACTCTCTGGGCTGCGTGGAGGACTGCCTAGCCCCCAATACCGCCTTCCAACTGAAGCCCCACCCTTTTTAGGGGCATGCAGCAGGCCCCCTCTGCCTTGTCCAGGGGCCCGGTGAGGCTCTCACTCTGCTGCCCAGAGTATGGGATTGAGTTTCTAACCATCCTGACAAACAGCCATTGATGGACCTCAGAGAGGTAGCCAAGTTAGTCTGTAATTTTAAAAACGATTAGTCCTGTTAGAGACTAACAAAAATATATATACAGTATCATGAGCTTTTGTGGGCACAATCCACTTCTTCAGATGATCTTGAGTGGAAAAAAAGAACCCAGCATTTATAACAGAAAGGGGGAGAGGAAAAATAAAAGTACCTGTCAATTACAGTGCCAGTGCTAATGAGGCTAATTCATTGGGCTGGAAGTGTCCCATACTTAGCTTTTGATGTCAATGATGTGTGAAATGTAAGGAAGACTAGTTTTCTAATGGGATATCCAGTTTGTTCCTGCCCAGAGAACCAGTGTCAAATTTGCATATGAAGGTTAATTTTGCACTCTCTCTCTGTAACTGGCTTGTGAAATTCCTTTGTAGAAGAATGGCTACTTTAAACCCATTAATGAATCCCCAGGCAGGTTAAAATGTCCCCCTACAGGTTTATATATATAGGTCGTACCCCCCTTAACCAAGACTCTCTAGTCTGGCAACACCAATGGTCCAGGAGGACCACAGATGTTCCTGGACCATAGAGTCCAGGTACAGGGAGGTCTGTCTGCAGGGCAGGAGCATAGCAGGGGACAGGAACAGCAACTCAGCTGGGAGCCCTGTTTGAGGTGGATGGGCAGCACAGCGGGGCAATCTGGCCCCAGCAGCTGGGCAGTAGCAGGGGGCTGGCAGCAGCCACACAGCTCCAGTCCTGGCCCCAGCTACGCAGCTCTGGCCTCAGCCATGCAGCTCCAGCCCTGGCAGCAGCTAGGGAGCCCTAGTTGCAGAACTCCAGCCTCAGCAGTAATGGGGCCAGCAGGAGCTAGAGAGCTCTGGCTCAGGGAGTGACCAGGCAGCAGCAGGGCAGGCTGGAGCCCTAGATGGGGGGCAGTGGTTTGGTACGGGCCAGGAGGGAAGGGACCTTCCCTGGTCTAGCTAATCCCCTCATTTGGGACTGATCAGGTCCCAAGGGTTCCAGACCAGGGCTGTCCAACCTGTATTGCTATTTCTGATATCTAACTTGTGTCCATTGATCCTTTGTTGTAAAGTTTATTCAGGTTGGCCAATATACATGGCAAAAGGGCACTGGTAGCACTTGGTGGCATGTATCACATTAGACTATGTGCAGCTGTATGAGCCCTGTCCACCATGAACATGTCTGAATTATTTTTGAATCCCATTATACTTTTGAGCTTCACAACATGGCAACAAGTTCCATAGGCTGACTATGTGTTTTATGAAGTACTACTTCGTTCTATTTTAAATTTGCTGCCTGTTCATTTCATTGGATGATGCTAGTTTTTATGTACTATGAAGCGGTAAAAAACACTTTCCTACTCCCTTTCTCCACACCATTCATTATTTCATAGATATCTATCATATATATCCCTCCCTTAGATGTCTCTTTTCTAAAATGAACAGTCCCCATCTTTTTAATCTTACCTTGTATGGAAGTTGTTCCACACCAATTTTTATGAGGTAGTACTTCGTTCTATTTTAAAATTTTTTGTACATTTTTCTAATTCTAATACATCATCTTTTGAGAATGACAACCAGCACTACACACAGTATCCAAGCTGTGGTTATACTGTGGATTTTCATAGTGATATGATGATACTTCCTGTTTTTTTATTACCTAATATTCTGGTAGAATTTTTTACCATCACTGTATGGTGAGTGGATGTTTTCAGGAACTATTCACAACTATCTATTTCTTGAGTGGTAAAAGCTAATTTAGACCCCAACATTTTGTATGGATAGCTGGGATTGTTTTCTAACATGCATACCTTGTACTTATCAACACTGAATTTCATCTGCCATTTTCTCACCCAGTCACCCAGATTAGTGAGATCCTTTTGTAACTCTTTGGACTAACTGTCTTGAGCAATTTTGCATCATCTGTCACCTCACTATTCACTATTTTTTCTAGATCACTTATGAATATGTTGAACAGCACAGATACCAGTACAGATCTTTGGGAATCATGCTATTTACCTCTCTCCATTGTGAAAATTTATCATTCCTTCCTGACACTTCCTATCTTTCAATCAGTAACTGATCCATGAGAGGACAATCCCTCTTATCCTATGACTACTTAGTTTGTTCAAGAGTCTTTGGTGAAGAGCATTGTCAAAGGCTTTCTGAATGTCCAAGTACACTAAATAGGATCATGCTTCTCCACATGCTTGTTGTTGACTGATAATTCCAATATATGGGTGAGGCTTGATTTCCCTTTACAAAAGCTGTGCTGACTCTTCCCCAATATATCATGTGTCTAATAATTTTGTTCTTTACTGCAGTTTCAGTCAATTTGCCTGGTTACTGAAGTTAGGTTTACTGCTATGTAAGTGCCAGGATTGCACTTGGAAACTTTTTAAAATATGAATTACATTAGCTGTCCTTTTATCTTGTACAGAAGGTGATTTAAGTGACAGGTTACATATCTTAGCAAGTTCTGCAATTTCAGAACTTTTGTGTGAATACCATCTGGTCCTAGTGACCTATTACCATTTAATTTATTTGTTCCAAAAACCTCCTCTATTAATATCTCAATCTGGGACAGTTCCTCAGTTACATTAAAAAAAAAAGCTCAGGTGTTGGGATCTCTCCCATATTTTCTGCAGTGAAGATGGATGTAAATAATTAATGTAGCATCTCTGAAACAGCTCTTTCTGAAGTGCTCTATCATCACCTTGGCCATCCCATGGCCCCACAGACTGTTTGGTAGGCTTCTTGCTTCTGTTGTACTTTTTTAAAAATGCAGTTAGTTTCTGTGACCTTAGGTAGCTGTTCTGCATTTTTGACAGGGTTTAAGCTTTTTTTCTCATTATTTTACTTCGAATTGTAAAGGATTTCCCCCTTCTCACACTCTCTTTTACTCTGCTGTTTAGCCATGGTAGCAGGGTTCCCTTGCAATTTTTAAAAATTATTTGTAGGGCATACATTTAATTTGAGCCTGTATTACGGTTGCTATGCAGTTTGTAGGTACTTCATCCTTGTGGCTGTTCCTTTTGTTTTATATGTAATTAGCCTCCTCACTCTTGTGTAGTTCCCCTTTTTGAAATTAAATGCTATTGTGGTGGGCTTCTTTGCTTTTCTCCCCTACTATGATGTTAAATTTAATTACATTGTGGTTGCTATTTCTAAGTAGTTCAGGCTATTATACTCACCTCTTGGACTGGATCCCATGTTCCATTTCAATGTGCATTCTTCCTGTTTCAAGAATCTTATTTGGTTTTAATGTTTTTATTTTTATCATATATAATAAGATTAGATGTACAAAACATCCAAGACAGATCTTTATCTGATGTAAATTGTCATAGCTACATTGACTTCAATGGAATTATGGCAATTTACATCTGAGAATCTACTCAACATTTTTTTTTCATAGTTTGGTTACAGGACTCCCATTCATTTTTCATGGAAGTTGCACTTCTGACCAATATCAGTTACTGCCTAGTGCACAGAAACATATCATTGTATATTACATATGTGGGAACAATTTCTCCAATTTAATGCAGCCACTGAAATTCATCACCCTCACTGAATAAACTCTAGGGCTATGTCTACACTCGTGGCTTCTTGCGCAAGTACAGCCGTTCTTGCGCAAGAATCTGCAGAGCATCCACACTGTCCGTCTGCTCTTGCACAAGTAAATTTACAGTACGGCGTGGTAAGAGAGGGTTCCTTGCACAAGAGCTACACTCTTTTTTAACAGGTGTAAGCCCTCTTGCGCAGGAGCTCTTGCGCAAGAGGGCAGTGTGGACGCTTGGCAGGGATTTCTTGCACAAGAAAGCCCTATGGCTAAAATGGCCATCAGAGCTTTCTTGCGCAAGAGAGCGTCCACACTGCCATGGGCGCTCTTGCGCAAAAGCACAGCTCGCACATGGCAGTGTGGATGTTTTCTTGCGCAAGACTTCTTGCACAAGAACACTTGCGCAAAATGTTCTTGCGCAAGAAGCCACCAGTGTAGACATAGCCTAAGTGATTGGCATTGTAGAGGGAAGACTACTATGAAGTAATCATACTTAGATCTTTCTCACACAGTCATCCTATGGCCAAGTTATTATTCCAGTTTATTGATAGGAAGAGTAATTGTTGCTACATTGCACATACCTACTTGGACAATTGTACCCCTCTAAGTACAGATCATCTAAATTATAGAACCAACACAGAGCTCCTCTGAACAGTGTAGGGACACCAACTTGTAGACAACTACACGATTAACTGATAAGCCCAGGCTTATCGGTTAATCCTGTCAACTATTTCTGTATCAGGGGTAACAAGGGCAAGGAGAAGGAGGGAGCTGGTGTCAGCTACCCATAAGCATGGAGGGTGAGGGGGGCAGGCAGGAGCTGATGTGTGTGAAGAGCCAGCTTTCAAGCTGACTCACTGTGCAAGCTGACTGTGTGGACCCACCTGCCCCACTCCATGATGCTGCTGCCTCTGAAAAAGGCAGCAGCATGGGGGGAGGCAGGGGAGGTTGCTGCGAAGCAGCCTGTGCCCAACAGTGGGCCCGGGCTTGCTGAGGTCAGAGGTTGCTCTGTAGCAGCCTCCCCTGCCCCTTCCCAGAGACAGGGACTCTGCATCCCACAGAACAGCCTCTGTCCTCAGGGAACCTGGGCCTGCTGCAAACAGAGACTGCTCTGCATCAGCAGCCCTTGTCCTTTTTTTAAACGGGTTCCTCCCCGGACCAGCTCCCATCTGCTACCCCTGATAGAGTGGCAGCAGTGCAGGATTGCAGGGGGCTCCCTTCCAGTCCTGTGATTCTGTGCTTTTATCTTAAGCATTTTTAATATGCCCATCACTGTATTACCAGGTGGCAATGCTATCATTTAAATCAATTGGTAAATCATCAGCAATAAACCATTAAACTCTTTTGGCTCATAGCAAGTGTACTCTCAATTTAATCTGATATATCCTTTGTTAGGCCCTTTATGTTCTGAGCGGATAGGCTGAGCTAGAATACCTACATCTCCAATTATTTTTTAAGTTTTCTTTTAATGCTGAGTCTTATGGAAAGCACAGTGAGCTCTGCAAGATGCAGAGCCTACTGGGAGTTGCTGATACCATCAGCATCCATAGACATATTTCTCAAATTCCAATAACAGCTGCACTTTCCTGCTTGCTGAGCCACTGTAGAGCTGGGAGTACTGCAAAGGCCATACACCAATTACAAGAGATAGGTAGTCTTGAGCCCCTGGTCAAACAGAAGCTGCAAAGGCTTTTTCTTCCAGATGCTAACTGTGCACATAAATGTATGTTGTTTTCCAAGACATTAAGTGTAAAATATTCTGGAACTTTATAAATGAACACAGGGCAAATTATCTTTTCCTATGTGCTTACATAGTGTCTTGGATGTTGCCTCAATTCAAGTCATTACATGCGTTCATTATTATTTGTAGAACTAAATGAAAAATAACCTAGCTTTTAATAATATAACTTGTATCTTTGAATAACCTCAGTATCAAAGAATTGTCTTTATAATAGCCTTTCACTTTCCATAAACTCATGATATTCTAAGAAACTGAATACTATGACCTGTTATTTCTCAAATACTTCCCTTTCAGCACATTCCCATTCTGCAAGCGTCCAGATCAGTGGTGGCAAGCACATTCTCTTCATCTCCTGGAGTAAGAGTTATTAATGGGCTAAACAGAATATCAGCATCTTCAAAATCTGGTGCCAAATTCTTGCAGCCACGACTTGTACAACATTTTGCAGAGTTAAATACTATGTCTCATTGTCTTCTGAAAAATATAAACACACCAAAGCAGCCTCTCTATAAAAATCAGGTATGGGAGCTATAGTTCTAGTGCTAATTAATTAGATCCCATTCTAATGTATTTTGCCTGCAATGTATATCAGGTTTTCAAACTACTTTCAGTTAAGAGTTTTGTGCCACTCAGCTCAGTTACTGTGTGCAAAATTGGAATCTTTACCATCTCTATCCCATTTTCCCACTTTCACCTCTCTTACATAATAATTAATACGAGCCCAAATCTTGAATACAATACTTTGTCCTCATTCAGTAGGCATTTTGCCTGAATAAGAACTGTATACAAAGAGATGCACTGATTGCATCCAACATCTGCAAATGGAGAGGACCCTGCATACATGGTTCTCCTTGTACATGGAAAGAGGCACAACCAGTTCTGGAGCAGTATTAACCCTCTCTCTGCCACACCCCCTTTCTCCTGTAACCCACAGAAAGCCTGCTGAGTCAGAAGAATAAGTAGGCTGGTAAAAGGGCTGTGGTGGATGCCAGCCCTTTTACGCTTGTGATTCCTATATGTTCCTGTGACCCTCCAAGATGACAAAATGAACTATTGTTCTTAATCACGCACAAAAATATTTGGCTCAAAGAGGAACAAACATGTAAAGTTAGGCATTTCAGAAGTGGATATGAAAATAAGGAACTTCTCTTAAAATATTGTCCTGTTTAGCGGCATTGATATTTTGGCAGCCAAACCCACCCAAAAACTGTTTTTAAAAAAATGTATTTCCTTCAGGGTAGAACATTTTCCCTTTTTGATGTGATCTCCTATCCAGCAAAGACTGCTCTCACCAGCATCATGTGTGCTTCCTATGCAGCACTAATTTATGTGGTAAGTTAATAAACTTCTTAATTCTGTAACTGATTCTGCTGCCCTTATCCACAGTGACTAGTTCCTGACTCCATAAGGAAAACAGAGCTTATATGCAGCATAAAGTACCATCCAATGTGTAAAGGGGACAGAATCAGGCATTCTTTGATGTATTCATTTACTTGATATTCATACTATAATGACACACCCAAACAAGAATTAAATATACGCATTTCAGTTTTCACTCTGCTCTTCGTTTTCATACAGATAGCTGCACAACAAGCTGAATGAAATAGTTATTTTACTCAAGTTGCCTTTGAGGGTGTCTCGTACATATTAAAGCAGCCTTGCAAATGTGATGAGACAGGGCAGGTTAAACAGCTTGGCTGTGTCTACACTGGCGCAGTCTTATGCCAAAGCGGCCGCTCTTGCGCAAAAACTTGCTCCCTGTCTACACTGGCCGTGTGTTCTTGTGCAAGTAAACTGACATTCTACTGTATAAAATCGGCTTCTTGCGCAAGAACTATGATGCTCCCACTCAGGAATAAGCCCTCTTGCGCAACTGTTCTTGCGCAAGAAGCCAGTGTAGACAGGCAACATGAATTTCTTGCGCAAGAAAGTCCTATGGTTAAAATGGCCATCAGAGCTTTCTTATGCAAGAAAGCGTCTACACTGGCATGGATGCTCTTGAGCAAAAGCACATCTCGGTGTAGAAACTCTCTTGCACAACTACTCTAACGCAAGAACTCTTGTGCTAAAGAGTTTTTGTGCAAGATCACGCCAGTGTAGACGTAGGCCTTGATAGTAGAGTAGAGAGGCAGCTCTTTAAAATGAACAGAAACGGCCCTAGCTAATCAGTGGTAGCTTAGACCAGTCTGCTATAAAGCAATTAAGGGCCAGGTGAGTTGATTCAGGCTGCCAGGGGACCTCTTTAAAAACCTTCACTGTGGGGGACAGGAGAGGAGAGGAACAACCGATAAGGAGACTCAGAGGTGCTGAGCAGAACATCACCACTGCTAAAGGCTGCAGAGGGAAGTGAGGCTCCCTTCCCCGCAAGTGGCCGGACAAGGACTGTTTACTCAGCTCCAACTGGCCCAGGGCAACGGCCCCAACACTCTGTTGTTTTTGCTGAGGGACAAGCCAAACACTGAAACAAGGCAAATGAGATTTCTACCTCAACCTCTAAACTTTGGGATAGTGAGCAGAACAGGGGTGAGAGAGCCAGGAGTGGGACTGACCCTGCCACACTGGTCATGAAAATTAGCAACTCAAGGTATAAAATCTACTCCCTTGTTCTTTGCTATATTTATTGAAAAGGAAAAATTTTTTACTTGCTTGTCAAAAAACCCAAAACAAAACCAAAAACCCAAATACCCCCTGACTAAGCAATAATTTGCCAGTTGTTTACAGGATTATTTTCCCCATCTGCTCCAACAGACTTTAAGGCAAAAGGGCCCATCGTGATTAGGGCCCTACCAAAATCATGGCTCATTTTGGCCTATTTCATGTCATAGGATTGTAATAACGGTAAATTTCAGATATTTAAATCTAAGACTTCATGGTGGTGTAATTGCAGGGGTCCTGATCCAAAAGGAGTTGCACAGAAGGGAGGACCACTAGATTATTGTAGGGGGGGGGGGTTGCAGTACTGCTTCCCTCACTTATGTGCAGCTGCTGGCAGCAGCATTGCCCTTCAGAACTAGACAATGGTGGTAGCTGGTGAGGACTCCAGTTCTGAAGATAAAGCGATAGCCAGCAGCTGCACAGAAATAATGATGGCCTGTTAAGGTATTGCCACCGTTACTTCTGTGCTGTTGCCTCCAGAGTAGGGCCCTTAGTCAGCTGCTGCGACACCCTGGCCACCCAGCTCTGCAGGCAGCAGTGCAGAAGGGTGAAATGGGTACGGTATTGCCATCCTTTCTTTTGTATTGCTGCTGGAGAGGTGTTGCCTTCAGAGCTAGGCGCACAGGCTATGTCTAGGCTGCAAAGAAAAGTCGGAAAAAGGATACGCAAATTGCAATTTCCTTTTTCCACTTTTTTCGGATGAGGATTTTCTGAAATGTGGCCCATCTACATGGGGCCAAATTTCGGAAAAACCTCCTTTCGGAACATCCCTTCTTCATCGAGAAGCGACTCTGGGAGTGTTCCACATGAGGTGTTGAGTGCCCCCAGGGGCTCCTTTTCTTCCTCGTACAATGAGGAATACAGGGATGCTGAAAGAACATGTCTGGTTTTTCAGAAACTGTTCCGAAAAAGCAGATGCGTTCCTTGGATGGGGCATAGCTTTTCCTGGATACTTCTGGTAGCCCACAAAAGCTCTGCAGTGTAGACACAGCCACAGTCAACATTAAAACCACTGTTTTTCAGTTGACTAGCTCAAAAGGCAGCATAGAAATAAGAATGTCAATACTGTCTAAAATAACCAGTGGACACCCCCCGCAAATTGGGTCAGAATCTCCAATTTGAGAAATGCTGATCTCCCTCTTGTGTATATTATAGTGGAAAAGCACACACAAGGCCAGATTTCACGAGAGGACATCACATTTCACAGTCTGTGTGTTTTGCATGGCTGTGAATTTGGTTCGGCCCTACTCATGATCATCTAGTCTGACTTCCTGCACATCATAGACAATAGAACCTCACCCTTTCACTCCCTTCACAACCTCTGGCTGAGTTACTAAGCTCCTCAAATTTTGATTTAAAGACTTAAAAGTTACACAGAATCCATCACTGATGCTAATTCAAAACAGCAAAAGACCCATGTCCCTTCAGAGAAAGGTGAAAAAGCCCCAAGATCTGTCACATTTCTCAACCTAAACATGACAATCAGTTAATCTCTGAGTACATGTGCAAGACCCACCAGCCAGACACCTCAGAAAGAACTCTCTGCATAACTCATAGTCCTTCCCATCTAGTGTCTCCTCTCTGGCCACTGGAGATATTTAGTAACACTAGTAACAGAAGGTCATATGCCATTGTAGACAATTTCATTATACCATTCAATAAGTTTATCAAGCTCAGTCTTGAAGCAAATTAGGTTGGAGTTTTGTTTTTGTTTTGGATTTTTTTGTTTGTTTTTGCCACCACTACTTCCATTGGAAGGTGTTGAAGAACTTCACTGATGAAAAAACATTTATCTAATTTCAATCCAACACCTGAGAATTACTTTGATCCTTTCATAACAACTCCATCTCTTATGTTTATCCCTCCAATGTACTTAAAGAATCTTCAGCTTGTTTTGTTAGGCAAAACAAGCCAAGTTCCTTAAGTCTTCTCTCGTAAGTTTGGTTCTGCATTTCACTGACCACCCTAGTGTAGCCATTCTCTGTATCTGTTCCAGTGTGAATTCATTGTTCTTGAACATGGGAGACCAGAACTGCACAGTGTTCCAAATGAGGTCTCACCAATTCCTTATATAAGGATATTAGTGCTTCTCTATCTCTACTGGAAATCTCTCTCCAAAAGCATTTTAGGATTGCATTATCCCTTTTTCACAGTGTTTCGTAAACTTTTTTTCATAAAGTACCCCAGTACCTACAGTTTTCAGACACACACAATTTGTTTCTACTATTGCAACACATTTGTTTAAATAACTTAATCGTAGCCAGGCAGGCAATGACATTTTTGGGTATAAAAAATACAAAAATAATAAAGCACTGTAAAACTTAAAACAAAAATTCAGGTTTCTGCAAATTTCAGTTGGGCTGATGTACCCCCGACTTCTCTTGAGTACCCCTAAAAGCACTTGTACCATTGGTTGAGAAACACAGCTTTTTCACATCCACATCACATTTGCTGCTCATAGTCATCCTCTGATTAACTAATATAACCAGGTCTTTCTGTCTTCTGTTGCTTCCAACTGGTAAATCCCCAGTTTATACAAAAGTTCTTCTTGTTAGTAAGTGCATGTCCTGTTTCTGCCCTGTCCTACTCCTTCTCCCAATCCTATTCTTTCTCTAGCCAGTCCCAGTCTCCACTCCATAGACTTCTCATCCCTTTGTGCTTGCCCCTCCTTAGTCACCACTTTTAGGCTTCCCATACAAGTCTCTCTCAACTACTTGCTGCATCAATGCCAGTACTCCCACCCTGACTCGTTTCCCATCTTCTCACTCATTCAGTCTTAGCTGCCTCCTGGTTTGTCTTCTCTACACTTGTTCTTAGACCCACTACGCCACCCCAAGTTCCTCATCTAATCTCAGTTCTCCATGTAAAATTAAGATTGTGTTGTGTATTGGGTTGTAGATATAGATCTTATTGTTATAGTAACTGAGTAGGTCACTGGGGTCAGCCCAGCTAGTCTGGGCTTATGCTAGTGAGTTCTGTGCTATGCAATAAAATGGACACTTGCAACTACTCAAGCTCTCTGCATTTCCACTGATTTCTTCCTATACTGTGAAACTCCCCACGACACAACAGATTGAATCTTGGTGATTATAGCTACTAAATTCTTTATCATCTCTGGTAAGCATGGGTGAAGAGATTTTTTTTCAAAGGCTTTCAACTTGGCCATATTTGGATAGATTTCTCCAGCTATATCCCTGACACACAGCTAGTGGCTGTTGCATTTCAAGGCTTTGCTCAAAAGCATGGGTGCACTAGAACTTCTCAAAGAAAGTGACCAGAATTTTATTAAATAGCAAAACATATTACCCTATTTTGATTATCAGAAATGGCTAACTGTTTTGGATTAAGTTTAGAATTAAAAGATCCAGACACCTGGTGTGGAAAACACCAGCCCAATTAAAATTTGTAAAAAATATAAGAGGCTGAAAACAGGGTCTCATAATGGCAAATTTCAGGCTATTTGCCCCATTCATCTACAATGTATGTATCAACTTAGTATGTTTTCCCTTTATCAGTTTGTGTCTTGAGATCATAAAAGCCAGGGATGGGTAATAAGCAGTCTGAGAGTCAGACTGTTCACCAGGATTAGGTCATGGAGGGCCATCAGATGCCTATTTTACCTGAGTGTCTGCAGATACAGATGCTCACAGTTACCAATGGCTGCAATTTGCTGTTCCCAGGCAATGGTTGCTGAGGGAAGCAGTGTGGGCTGAGCTACCACTTCCCATAGCTCCTATTGGCTGGGAAACCACTGCCAACGGAAGCTGCAAATGGCTGTACTTGTGGATACTCATGTAAATAAAGTGTCTGGTGGCCTGCCAGGGACTAACCCTGATGAAACTGCATCTGGCCCATGAGCAACTGGTGCCCACCTCTTCCGTAAGCCCATTAGGACACAGACAGTCTCTTCTAGGTATGCATAACATTCAACACAATGGGGGCTCAGTCCCAATCAGGGCCTTTGGCCACTACCAGAATATAAATATTTTTAATTATTTAAAAAAATAATAATGCCAGGCATCCTAAGAAAATGCCTGGATATCTGCACGTTATGGGGAGCGGAGGCACTATTCTACTTCACATAGAGACTGTGTGAAGTGCTGAGTGCTGAGTGCTAACACCCACTTGTAGCAATGGGATTTAAGGACATTCAGCTCTTTGCTAGAGATATTCAGCAGGTTACATTTTAGCTCCCTGCTTGATTCATTACAAACTCTGTCCTGTCCTGCAAGGCATTGAGTGCTCCAAGTATCATTTTATTCTGTGGTAATCAAGGTAGGTTGGGAACTTGCAGGATTGGGTTTGCACATCCAAATACGTTGTTAGATGTTCTATACCAGGACCTGTTCAGTTTCTTATTGCTTAATTATAATTTCTTATATCTTTAGAAGCCTGAAAAATAAAAAGGTTGAGAAAGTTAAAGTATTTTTCCATATAAAAGTTTCATCACCTTATACATCTTTTAGTATTTTGCCAGCTCCTGTGGCTATAATCTCATTGGGTATGTCTACACTACCACCCTAGTTCGAACTAGGGTGGTAGTGTAGACATACCCAATGAGATTATAGCCACAGGAGCTGGCAAAATACTAAAAGATGTATAAGGTGATACTCCGTGCCCGCGGCTACACGCAGCACGGAATAGGTAGTTCGAATTAGGCTTTCTAATTCGAACTACTGTTACTCCTCGTAGAAAGCCTAATTCGAACTACCTATTCCGTGCTGCGTGTAGCCGCGGGCATGGAGTCTGCACTAACGGGGACAAAATTTAAAGAACTTCGGCTGATAGCTTTCTGTCTGGCCCTCTTATCCATATGAAATCTTTTTTATTGTCATTATGGTCCCCACTTCCCAACTGTCTGTAGGATCTCTGATTCTGTGGTTGTTTCTGTCTGCTATATAATTAATTTTTCTGGGTATAAACCAATTAAGGTGTGGGATATAATTTAATTATGTTACAATGTTAGATATGGTTAGTTAAATTTCAGTAGAGAAGTATGTTGGAAAAAAGGGAAACTGGATTCATGCTTGCTGGTAACTAACCCCAATAAACATTGAATGGTTGGCATGTGCAGACTTCGGGGATTGCTGTTCTCTGTTGACACAAGAAGGACCAGGGTACTGGGAGGGTGAGAAGAAGCTTTTTAACAGTCGCCATGATCCAATAAGCACTGAAGCCACTGCATAATTTTAAGCACATATGTAGTCCTATTAATTTTGCTGGAACTATCTACATGCTTAAGTTAAATGTGATTTAAGTACTGTACTGGATTTTGGCTAGAGTGCTCAACAACTTGTAGGATCGAGCCCTTTATTACTAAGATACTTGTATGTATTATAAAGCTTCAAAATAAAGTACATTTCATGTTATTACAAAGGTCAAACAGAAGTAATATCACTCCAAGTTGTGGTTTTCTTAAACTAAAATATCTTTATTATATGTAGGCACTCTCTATTAGCACAGTAGTGGGGACAATAAAAAATATAGTTCAAGAAGAAAAGGCCTCAAGAGTAAAGTCTAAGAATGAGGAAGAAAAAGATGGATTCTCCAAATATGAAGATTCAGCAAGTTACAGTGTGCTCTCTCCAGAGAAGCAAGTCTTTTCTGAATTTCCTGTGGAAAACTCAACTGAGAGCAGCATTCACATCCTACACTCTGCCCTGGATCAAGACACTTAAATATAGTGGTAACAAGACAATGAGCTTTTTGTTAGTGCACTGAATGTTTAGCCAAAGACAATATATACAAACTTTACAATCTCTATTTGTTAATAAAATAATCATTAGTACAAATAGCTTAATATCTTGTGTTCCTTGTCTCATGAAAAAAATCTAGGGTATTTGTCATTTAATCCAGTTGTGGCTGAGAGCCTCACTATTAATGTTTTTTAGGGACATGTTACATAGGATGTAAATTTTGCACTAACCAACTGTTGTGTAAATTTTTCTGATTATGTAAGTAAAAGCATGAGATTCTGAAGTCTGGAGTCTAATGTGTTTATCTTATACCAAATTCCACAAAACTGGCCAATGTCTAATCACATTTTTTCTAGCAGACAGATACTGACTAAATTGGATTAATGTGTACTTTGTTTCCTTTACTGTGGTTCAGTTTACCAATTTCTCTTTGTCAATGGAGTCCATGACATGGTTCAATTCCTCTTTGCTTTTTCCCTTTATGCAGATTTTCTCATCTCCTATCCTGATTCACTTCCCAGGATGTCTGCTTTGTGAAGTCATAATTTAAAAATGACTATATCCAATCTTGTCAGAAATATGAACAGCAATGCTGTTTGGATTCTACCCAAAGTATTAACAGAATACTCCTCTGTATTCCATTGCTAAAAAGTTCTGGAAAGGTCATATGATCTTATGCTTCATTTTAAAATTTCTTTACAAGTTCAAAAGCCAGATTTTAATGAAGCGAGGCCCAGTATCCACAAGCACCGCCTTAACATAGCGTTTCAACACACCCCGTTACTCCTTAGTTTATGCATGATGTACTCCACCAGCATTCCCTCTGGCATGGCAGCACGGCCCGACAGCTGCTTAATGAGCCCAGCCAAAAGGGAAGGGACATGTCCCTACCAGCTTGGAAGAGACTTACTTCTCTATCCTCAGCAGGGAGCTGCTGCTGCCACTGAGGAAGAAATGCCTCTTCCCCCTGCCAGGCAACTCCATACATGAGTCCTGAGCCCCTGGCTGAGTGGTGCTCATTAAGCAACTGTGATACTGTGTTGCCACACAGCTGAGAGGGAACACTGAGCTCTACTTATGTATAAGCACAGACCTACCCATTATTACCCTGAACTTGAGTTTTATGTTGACAAGAGCATACAAAGTGGAGTCCACAGAACCTCCATTTTGTTTAAGGAATGCTTTCTCCCTCAGATGCAGCTTCCCGCCAAAACCACAGCTTTGTGCACATGACCCCAGCTATGCACCCATCCCTGAACCATGTGCACTTGGTCCTAACAGCTGCACTCAGCCCCAACATCACTGCACTCATTCCTAAAAGGTACACTCACTCCACTCAGTTGCACAAGGCCCTAATTCTGCACCCAGCCCATTAACATCTTTTTCCCACCACAGAGCCTGTATAAGCTCTGACCTGAGAGAGTTTGGGTTGGTTCCTCTGGTTTCTTTGATCTTTCCAAGTTCTTGTGGTTCCAATCCTTTTCCCTGTCATCTTTAGATTAATGGTTTTGACTTGGTGAGGCCTTGGTTTTGACTCATCAGCCACCTTGCGTGTGGGAATGCCCCACGTGGAGAGTACTTGGCTAGAGTCGTTGGACTGAGACTGGACTTACCATCAACTACCACTTAACTTCTGGACTGGATGGTTTAGCCAGAGGGTGACCAGTACCGTATCCTGAGGAGCCATTCTCCAAGCAATTGAGGGTCCTTCCAGCATTCTTCTGCCAAGAAGTGAGGATTATCGCTTCAGGGGATCTCCCCGCTTGTCCTCCTTCAAGGCTTCCAATTAGCCACGAAGTAGAAGGTTGCGGGCACTGATCGCCACATATTTTGTAAAGTATACCTTTCTTTGTATTGGGATCTTTCCTATCTGCTTGGTTTCTAGAGATAGGGTGGGTGAGTTGTGTTTATTATTCCTATTTGTGCTGTTAATTCAAAATACATGGTTTGGCCCCAAACTCTGGCTTGCCTGATTATTGGGTCCATAAATAGCCAGTCATAAAGATACAGATTACCAGGTGAACCTCGCTTCTGACTCTGGGATCAGTTACATCTAGTCAGAACAGGTCTAATTCCACTCTAAGTTAATGCGTTACATTGTTCCCAGTGTAACAGTTTGGCGACCACGGCAGGTCCTGGTAAGGATTTTATGGTCCTTGTCAGGTTCTGTCTGGCTTACTCAGACTTTTATAAGTAGTGCCGTAGCACAAACAGAAATAATTAATGGTACGGTCCATCGACTCAGGGAGGGAATTCCCCCAAGGCCCTATCTTTTTCTCCCCATTCTAAATCCGGAAGTGACTAGTTTGGCGAAACTGAGGACACTCCTCCCCAATACAGGCCACCCGGTAGCTGAGGTTCCCAACCTTGCTGACTGGCAGGTTCAGCCCTTCCTGGTGGTTCAGGTCCGTGTGGCAAGCAGGCGTGCACCTATTTTTGGGGTAATCCGGCCATTGCCGTGGTGATTTAAACCCCTTTTGCAGGGTTTTTTTTTTTAAGACACTGTACCTTAACCCTTTTCTCTCCCTTAATTGGTTTTGTAATTGTATAGTGAGAACCACAGGCAGGTCTTGAAGTTCAGACCTAGCCAATAACCTGTTTTCTCAGTTAAATCTAGTACGGATTGGGTAAGCAATCTGGACAGGAAAGATGTCTGCTCCCCAGCTTTTTGACAGCCGCGGCTGGAGACCTGTATATAATAAAAACATCTTGGGGTCTGCTGTTAATCTTTTTGGTAAAGAATCTAACCCTTGGGTGGAAGAATCTTTCAAAGGGGAAGATTCTTTGGTTAAGTTTGGGGAACTGTGGGAAAAATATAACAACCCCACACCAAAAAGCAATATCAAAAATGGACCCTGCTTTATGGTTTCACAATGGTGAGCCGGGAGCTGGCAGCTCAAATTAAAGTATTAAGAACTTTACATGATAAAACCACTCACCACGTTAACAACATTAGAAAGCCAGCTTAAACAAATGATTGATGATATAGAGTCGAAGTGTTATCACTGTAATTTATGGAAATGTATAATTGGGCTGGAGTTTATTTGGATTTTAAAATGGAGTCTGTGGGTCAGCCTTGTTGGTATACAATCCTGTCAGCCTAACCAAAGGAGGGTGGCGAGGGGTTTCTTTGTCTAAAGATTCCCACCCCTTACAGGGTTGCACTCATTACCAAATGCTTTGCACCCATCCCAAAAGAGCTGCACACGATCCAAAAAGCTTTGCATACTGCCCAAATGGTGTTGCACTCAGCTCTACTAACATCTTCCCGCCTTTTTGTCTATAAATAGCCTAGCTGTGATTCAGGGCGGGTTCAGTCTTTTGGGTTCAGCTTGTGTCATTTTGTAGGTATGCTAATGGTATGTTTAACTGTTTGTCATTAAATGTCATTAAATGTATGGAAGAGTGATTGAATAGTGTGACCATGTGGATGTAGGTAATGGTTGTCCTGCCAGTGGGATTAGTTTCCTGTGGAGAAGTCCCGTGTAAACAATAGCCCAGCACAGGGTTGGCTACTGAGGGTTTACTTGACACCCTATTGGATTAACATGTGAAGAGCGGAAGGCCCTTCGCTAAGGAGTCCAGATATCTGCACCTGCCAGGCCAGAGGATAGGATCCGGAGTATCATCGTGGGATTGCCTCACTGTTCCTCTGCCGAGGCTTCCTATTAGCCAGAGCATAGAGGTCATGACCTCTGAAACCTGTTTTCAATCACGTGGATGTAATGTATACCTTGTGTATTGGGGATATTCTATCATCTTTTCTTCTGGGATAGGGTGGGCAAACTGATATTTCACGTGTTGACCGTTTCAGATTCTTTACAATATATGGTTTGGCCCCATATCTTGTCTCCGACTCATTTGTCTTAAAACCCATACCCGATGATAGATACGGCCTCGGGCGATCCCATCTTCTGGGACAATTAACATCTGAGTGTCAGGGTGTGCCTAATTAGATCTCTTAATTAATCATTACTGCGTCCCAGGGTAACTGAAGGATACCTTAATACAAGGTTTAAATGTAAAAATATCACAATTGGAGATCAAAATATCCGAATTATGTCTCAAAAATGATCAGGCAGAGGAGGTCATATTGGAACAAAATGTGTAGCTTAATGACTCACAGGTAACAGTTAGACAGCTCTTAAAAGAGGCCAATAACATCAGAACTGGGGGAGATCACACTCATGCCAACAGAACATTAGTAAGCTGCTGCAGCAGCTCGGAATGCCTAAGGGAGTGGTGGCAGCCATCCAGCCACAATTTAACCATGTAAATTGGCTGGGAGATGAAGTAAAAAGCTAAAATTGTGTTCCATCAGTGCTCTACCTTCCTATCAAGGAGGGGTGGAGAAATCTGAATAAATGGCACCAATCACTACCACAAAAGTAACAGTACCCAGGGCAAAATCAACCTGTGGTGAAACAAGAACAGAAGGTTCTCACTCCCGAGCAGGCAAGAGCTCTCCATAAAAATATGGGGCCTTGCAATAAAGAGAGGGTGTTAAATTGGCTGGCCTGGCTTTGTGTCACCCCAAATTTAGGGCCAGAAGATGTGGTGATTTTGCTTAAAGAGTGCATGCCAGTAGAAGAATTTCTCTCTCTACCTTACCAAGTAATTAATAATCCTAACATAGAGCATATAATCCTAATGTAGAGCAACTTTATATAAGTCTGTCTATCATTTATACTTTCCACATGAGGCCATTTTAGGCAAGTTATATGTGAACCAGCAAGGGGAAGGAGAGAAACCGGATCAATATATTATAAGAAAGAAATTGTTATATCTATTGGCAGGGCTCGGTATTCAGAGGGATGACAGGTTGGATTGTGACACTCCCCAGTTGAGGAATATTTGCTACCAAGGCTTGCTGCCAGCTATCAAACTGGCACTAGGTACCTTTGATTACCTTACTGCTCCCTTCCTTGTTATGGAAGAGAAGCTAAGAGAAATTCATGAGCTGCAGCAGCTTGCTACTGTGGGATTTAAGCAGCACCTTAAGAAGATCTCTGCATTGAATGATGAATTCCAGCAAGGAGTCATGCCACCTAAATATGAGCTGAAATTTAAGGAGAACAAAATTAACAGGGCTGATTTCCCATCTAGAACGTTAGTTGGCAAGAGGGAAGATATCTTTGTAACTCGTAGAGTCTTGGCTTGCCATGGGAAAAGATTAAGGCAATGGACATGGACACTGTGTTTAAGGAGTTAATGCATTGGGAAGGAAAAACCGTGAAGGTTAACAAAACGCCATTTTGTGTTAAACAACCAGTATGTACGGAACCGCCATTTTGCAATCCCTCTTCCAGGTCTTGTAAGTGCCGCCATTTTGATTCCGACCATGAGAACCAGGATATGAAGTGAAGGGGTCGAGCTTCCTAGCCCCTGAAAATGGATACAACAACAACATTGTCCTTTGATTTATAAGGAAGACCTGTCATAGACATTGAATACCATGGGAAGTTCAGAACAATCAAGCAACAAGCATTAGTGGACACTGGGACATCTAATAGCCTAATTTGTCCTAAACAATCGCCATCTATTAAAACCACAACTATTGATCATGTCAAGACCTTACAATGGAAAATCTTCAATAGTGCCATTTATCAAGGATGTGCAGTACAGAATAGGCTCTCTATGGACAAGTAATACCCTAGGATTGCAAGAATTAGATAACATCAGTATTATAGGTATTGATATAATCAGAAAATGTGGGCTAATAATTAATTTACCCAATAAGTGTATCTACCAAACAACCAATGCTGAAGAAGCTGGGACCATAATATTCCCATCCCACAGTTTGAGAGTGATCAAGACATGCCAGGAAATTGAGATGCCTACATGGGAACCCGATGTGCAAGCCATAGTAAATCAACATATTACCGCTTTCGCACAACATAAATTAAGTTGTGGAAAGGTAAATCAGTCCATTTTGGTGCACGGTCTGGACATGAAACCAATAAAACAGTACCAATTTCCAATGGAAACTCAGAAGGGGATAGAAAATACAATTCAATCATTACTCTCACAAGGAGTCACTGTGAGGTGCAATAGCCCGTGTAACTCTCCCATATGGCCGGTAAAGAAGGCTGACAGGAAATCATGGAGACTGACGGTGGATTTTTGGGAACTGAACAAGGTAATCCCTAGAGTGGCTCTGGTTGTAGCAAAATACCTGGAGATTATCGCCCAAATTTCTAGTGGGGCTTGATGGTTCACCGTCCTTAACATTTCTAATGCGTTCTTCTCCATTCCCCTGCAGCAAGAATCATGGTATAAATTTGCCTTCACCTTTCTAAATCAACAGTTCACTTTTACCCATGTGCCACCGGGGTTCCACAACGCACTCACAATTTGTCATTGGATCATCTCTAACCTGTGGAGGAATTTGAAATATGCGAAACGTGTGGTGAGCTATGTGGATGACATTTTAATAGCTACCGAGGACAGAGAGACCCACTTGAAATCTCTCAATGAAGTTCTGGGTACGTTAAAGAAGGCGGGATTTTTAATCAATCCATTGAAGGCCCAGCTAGTCCAGCAAAAGGTTTCTTATTTAGAAGTGGAATTGGGGCAAGAAGGCTGGAAGCCAGACCAGGAAAGAGTAAAAACAATATCCAACTTACCTGCTCCTAGTGATGTCCATGGTTTGAGAATATTTCTTAGATTACTAGGCTATAGTAGAGATTTTATAGAAAATTTCAGCTTAAAGGCTAAACCTCTTTATAAGCTATTGAAGAAATCTCAGCCATGAAAGTGGAGTAATGTGGAACAAGAAGCTTTTGTACAGTTGAAGACTGCCTTGATGCAGGCACCAGCTCTGGCATACCTGGATCCCAATAAAGAATTTAATTTACAAATGTCAACTGGGAAGGAAGCTATTGGAGTGGTGCTGATACAAATGAGAGGGACTACAGTTAAACCTGTCGCATACAGATCCAGGACCTTGTCCGAGGTAGAACAACAATATAGCAGCTGTGAAAAGGAGGTACTAGCACTTGTTTGGGCATTACAACACTGGGAATATTTAGTAGGAATGGCTCCTATAGTACTGAAAACTTGCCATACACCAGTAAGGTATATAATAACTGGCAGAATCAATAACGGACAAGTGAGCCATCCCAGAATAGCCTAGTGGACATTAGCCTTGATGAACCATCAAATTAAGGTGGAACCCTCTAAATCATATAATATTGTACCAGCCCTATTTTGTAGTCCTGTTACCTCTAATATTATCAATAATCATGAGTGTCCTATTCCTGAAAATAAATCACCTGAAGAAACATCACCGTTTGAACTGATAACCACATACGAGTTAATCAAAGAATATATGCCAAATGGTATATGGGCGGTGGATGGAAGTTGCCATAGACACAATGGCCAATTGGCAGCGGGAGCAGCAGCCTTACATGTTGCCTCAAAAACAGAAGCATTAAAACCAATCAACGTTACCTCTGTACAGGCCACCGAAATTGTTGCAGTGATATTAGCCCTAGAAAACAGCCCATCAAATGATAACATCACAATCTGTACGGATTCTGATTGGGTGCTTCGAGCTCTGCAGTAGCATGGTAGCCACAAATCAACTCTGACGTGGAGCACTTTGTTCAGAATTGTCTAAGATGTGCACAGAATAACCAGAAACATGACCCCCATAGCAAACCTATTCAACACCAGCCATGGGATAGAATCCAGATTGATTTCATAGGACCATTACATAAGTCCTCCAAAGGAAATGTGTATTGCCTCGTGGCTGTGGACCCTTTTACTAAATGGACTGAGGCGATTCCCGTGAAAAAATGCACCGCAAAAACAACAGCGAGAATAGTCTTAAATGACATCATCTCTCGGTTTGATCTCCCAAAGGTGATAGACAGCGACCAGGGGTGCACTTTACCAGAGAAATCACTAGACAGATATGCATCTTAAAAGATGGAAAGCTAAAGATCAAACCCCACCATTAGTCCAAGATCAACAAGTGCTTGAAAACCTCCCAATTTCATATTATAGGTTTAAACTATTTAATATATAAACAATTCTATCCTTCAATAGATATTTACCATTACATTTCCAAGATGATTTTATAAACTGTGATTAAGTACTATAATAGTCCTCCTCATAAAAATTAAGACTAACCCGAGCAATGAAGTTTTAACACTTGAAATATTACAAAAAATTATACATACATTACACTTGTCTTTTCTTAAAGGAAAATATAAAACTTCACTGACACAATGTTAATTCTAGAGGAGGTCTTGAATTTGTTTATGATCTTACTCTTTTCTACATTGTTTAATGCCTTAATAGCAATAAGTTAATACAGAAAATTTAATATATTAACACTTAGAAAAAACTTTACAGCTGTGTAGTTTTTCCATCATCCTGTGATACTAATGATGCATGTACACACACAGACAAACACATATTTTGCATTATGGCCACTGATTTTGAAGTTCAGAATGTGCATTATTTTTTCATATCAGAACTTCCAGTTTTTTTGTACTTGTCAGCATAGTAATCAGAGTCACACCTGATAGATAAGTCAGAAGGAGTAACATAAACCTTTCCATTGTCTACAGTAACCTTGTGAGTCCTTTGCTTTATCCCCTTTGATCGCCATTTTGGTGTTGGGGATGGAGCTGTAGGGTTTATTGCTTGATATAATCCTTCTCCTGTTGCCAAAGTAATTTTATACTTGTGCCAAGGGCAAATAATGCAAGGCTGTCCATTGATATCCTGGGGAAAAAAATTAAGACAACTCACTGAAATCTGACTCTTCTCTATAAATTATCTCTAGGTTAACAGCTTTTTAGGCTACTTGTAATGCCTTGTACTGCCATGGCAGGAACATCATGTTCTGTTTTTTTTAAAATAGCAACTGGAATACCAAATTAGATGACTGGTCTGGTCCATCCAGTGTAACCTATTTCCAACAATGGCCAATGTCAAAAGATTCAAAGAAAGCCCCCAATTCCCCCAACTGTCAATACTCTTATCATAATGGGATGTGTGTATATGGATGATGGGATTCTTTCGGACTCAAGATAATCATCATCTTAGGCTCTAATCATAATAGTTTAATTTATATTTTTATCCATATGACTGGAGATGTTTTACAGTAGAGTCAGTATTAGTCAACCTTCGGTAATCTGACATTCTGCTTTATCCGACCCTGCAGCTCCCGGGGACAAAGCGGTGCCAGCAGGAGCAGGAGCAGCATCAGCGGCTCCAGGGCGTGGGCTGGGAGAATGGCCCCGCTCGCTGCCCGGTCGCTCTCCTGGAGCCGCTGATGCCTGCAGCTTCCTGGGACAAAGCGGCGCCAGCAGGAGTGGCATCAGCGGCTCCATGAGAGCAACGGGGCAGCGAGCAGGGCAGGCGCCCGGGAGCTGCAGGGAGGGAAGGGGTCAGGGCCAGGCAGGGATGGGACCAAGCGGCCCAGGCTACAGTAGAGTCCCTATCATCTGACATTTTTGGTAATCCGACCACCTATCTGTCTCGTTTAGGTCAGATGATAGGGACTCTACTCTCCTTACATTCTAATAAACACTATGTCTCTTTATGATGTACAAAGCATGCTATCAATGTTTTGTAATGTAAGTATGTCTATGAATCATTTATTAGACATCTACTAGTCTATTTATCTGAAAAAGTACCTGGACTTGGCCTCCTGACTCTCAAGCCAGCAAGTGGTTGGAAGCATTGTGAAAATGGACAAATTAAGGGCAGTTAAAGAGAGTGTTCCATTGTAGAAAGGGCCAAATTTTACTTTCCTTTACACCAGTATAAACCCAAAGTAACCTCACTGATTTCAGAATTATTGCAGTGTTACTAAGAACACTATGTAGCCCAATGTGGAAGAGCAATATAAAAATCTGTACTAATATAAAAGGAGAGGCATCCGTCACTCCATCTGTTACAGAGAATATTTTAGAAGACTTGAGAAGTTTCTAGGGAGGGGCAGGCCGTCAGCCCCACCCCTTTTGCTGAGGCTCTATCCCAACCACAGGGAGGGGATGAGGAGCAGCAGCACATGCGTACCCCAGTATTCCTGGGACAGCAGAGAGGGAAGAGCCCGAGCCTCCCCACCCCTGGGAGTAACAGGGAGGGAGGAGGCCCTGCAGCCCAAGCTGGCTCCAGCCACCCCAGCCCTGGGAAGGGAGGCAGCTGCACAGCCTGAGTCTGCCCAAGCCTCCCCACCCCCACCCCTTGGAACAGCGTGGAGGGAGGAGGCCACATGTACATCTACCATCACAAAGGGATGGGTAATGCTACTTAGGATTAAAATATTTTAAATAATTTAATGTGTCATTTTTAGAATATTTACATACCTCTATCTCTCCAAGATGTAAAGGACCTCCTGCATCTAAAAAATGGTGGAATATGGAATTACAGTCACATCACAACTCACACTGGATTAATTTAAAATTGTTAACATGATGAGTACAAACAATCTTACGGTAGCAACCACAGTCCATAGCATAAAATTTCCCTTCATGGTAGAAAATGACAACTTCTCTGTCATGGACACTGGCTATTATTCTTTGTGACTGTTTTATTTCCTCTTCTTTACCAACACATACAGGAGCATTAGGCTCCATTTTATGAGGTGTTTCGACTGAGCTGTGCAAATCCATGTCCTTTAATTAAAAGAAAAGCCATTTTATAAAAAAATTAAAGTTTAGGTTTTCTCCACAAGGACACTTTGGATATCAAGTCATTCATAAAGATATTATGTACCTAAAATATCATAAGCAAAAGTTTTGATAAAAATAATTTGTACTATATTAATAAAACGTCTTGCTTCATTACAAGTGTATTAGATAATAAGTACCATGGAATTTGTTCTTTTAAGAATTTGAATGGTTAACCATTTAACTGATAACTAGATGGGTGAATCTTAACTGGTGGAGGCTGCAGCAGCTCCCCGCTTCCGCTTGCCTTGCAGGAGAGCTGTGGCTCAAAGCTCAGCTTACTCTTCCCCACAGTGAAGAGCCCACTGTGGCACTTCAGCCCCTTGGCCCACCAGGTGAGTTGGAGCACCAGTGCCAGCTTCCCATTATTTGTGGGGGATGGAAGGTGGGCCCGAGCCTCACGGACCAGATCCGGTTTGCAGGTAGTGTTCCCTGTAAGTTGGTGCTTGAGTGTCCTCTCAGCACAGATTTAAATGCTGCCCAGCTAATTAGCAGAGTGCCCTTGTCATGATTGAAACAAATACAGGACTACGTAGCACTTCAAAGACTAACAAGATGGTTTATTAGATGATGAGCTTTCGTGGGCCAGACCCACTTCCTCAGATCAAACAGTGGAAGAAAATAGTCACAACCATATATACCAAAGGATACAATTAAAAAAATGAACACATATGAAAAGGACAAATCACATTTCAGAACAGAAGCGGGATGCGGGGGGAGGGGAGGCAAATGTCTGTGAGCTAATAAGAGGTGATAATTGGGGAGGCTATCTTTGTAATGGGTAAGATAGCCAGAGTCTTTTTTGAGACCCATGCGTAGAGTGTCGAATTTTAGCATGAATGACAGTTCAGAGGATTCCCTTTCAAGTGCAGATTTAAAAGGCTTCTGAAGCAGGATGCAGGTAATTAAGTCATTGAGACAGTGTCCTTTCTGATTGAAATGGTAAGAAACTGTTTTTTCTTTGTGATCCTGTCTAATATCTGTTTTGTGGGCATTGATCCTTTGGCGAAGTGTCTGAGACGTTTGTCCAATGTACAAAGCAGACGGACACTTCCAGCACATGATAGCATAGATTATATTTCTGGAGGCGCAGGAATATGTATTCTTGGTCCAATAATGGTATCAGCAGAATGAATATGTGGACAAAGCTGGCAACGGGGTTTGTTGCAAGGGAAGGTACCAGGGTTGGTATTAGTGTGGTATGTCCTGTGGTGGTTGGTAAGAATCATCTTGAGGTTAGGTGGTTGTCTATAGGAGACTATGGGTCTGTCTCCCAGAGCCTCTTTGAGTATGGTATCCTGTTCCAATATAGGCTGTAGTTTATTGATAATGTGTTGGACAGGTTTAAGTTGGGGGTTGTAGGTGATGACAAGTGGTGTTCTATTGTTGGTTTTCTTGGGTCTGTCTTGAAGTAGATGGTTTCTAGGTATTCGTCTGGCTCTTTCAATTTGCTTTTTTATTTCTCTGGGTGGGTAGTTGAGGTTTATAAATGCTTGGTAGAGATCCTGAAGTTTCTGGTCTCTGTCAGTGGGATTAGAGCAGATGTGGTTGTATCGAAGGGCTTGGCTATAGATGATGGATCGTGTGGTGTGTTCTGGATGGGGGCTGGAAGCATGTAGGTAACTGTATGAGTCGGTGGGTTTTCTGTAGAGAGTGGTGTCTAATTTTCCATTGTTGATTTGTACTGTGGTGTCCAGGAAATGGATCTCTCGTGTATAATGGTCCAAGCTGAGGTTGATGGTGGGGTGTAGGTTGTTGAAATCTCTGTGGAATATCTCCAGTGTTTCTTGGCCATGCGTCCAGATCATAAAGATGTCCTCGATGTACCGTAGGTAGAGGAGGGGTGAAAGGGGACGGGAGTTGAGGAAACGTTGTTCTAGGTCAGCCATAAAGATGTTAGCATACTGTGGGGCCATGCGTGTACCCATGGCTGTGCCGCTGATCTGGAGGTATAAGTTGTTCTCAAACTGGAAATAATTGTGGGTGAGAACAAAGTTACATAGGTCTGCTATCAGGTTGGCAGTGGTGTCCTCTGGGATAGTGTTTCTAATTGCTTGTAATCCGTATTCATGTGGGATATTGGTGTACAGAGCTTCTACATCCATGGTGGCAAGGATGATGTTATTGGGGAGGTTATCGATGTTTTGTAGTTTCCTTAGGAAGTCAGTAGTGTCTCGGAGATAGCTGGGGGTGTTGGTTGCGTAGGGTTTGAGGAGAGAGTCTACATAGCTGGATAGACCAGTAGTGAGCGTGCCAATACGAGAGATGATGGGACGTCCGACCAGATCCCCTACCCACTTCTGCACCCAATTTTCCACTGTTAGCCCTGCACCCAGTGGGGCCAACAGCCACGTTGGGCCCTGGGGCAAGGTGAAAGGAACCAAATCCACACCCCCCAAAGAGGTGGAGCTGAGGGCAGTCAGACCTTAGCGCCACCCAGACTGTGGTGTTTCTTCCTCCCCCAGCCCTCAAAGCTGTGTGGAGTGGCACATCCTGTGCTTCTGCAGCAGTTCAAAGAAGTTCCAGTGCCTTTTGAGTGGCCCGGCCCCAGGGCAATTGCCCTCTTTGCTCCTCCCCCACATCAGCAGGCCTGCCTGCACCCTACTTCCCACCCAAAACCCACACCACCACTCCCTCCTGCACCTATTTTGTCAACATGGTTGGTTGGCTGGTGATCCTCAGAAAGGTTTGCACTGAGTGGGTTGGGCCACAGGCCAAAAGTTTAAGAACTACTGATATAGGAGTATCTCCAAAAGCAAACAAAAACCAGCCCTCCCTATAAAGAAAAGCAAATGAGCTAAAACTACTTTTTAGACAATGTCAGAGTTGGGGACATACACTGATTTAAAATAATACAAGTGTTAAGGTTTACCTGCAAAAGAAAAACAAAATTAAAAAAAATGTCTTCATATGTACTGAGACGAATTGAGGGGGGGAGAAGGAGTAACCAAAAATGGGACAGAATCAAACTCTAAAGAGGGTCAAAGCAATTTAGCTCCTTAACGTAAGTCACATCAATACCTTAGATCCATGCTAGAACATGACAGAGATGAAGAATGGATGAAGGGACGAAGTTTCAAATTAACAAGTGCAGCACCAGTTCTATAGCTCCATCACATCCCACACCCGTTCTGTTCTCATATGTATCAATTCTTTAAGTTCTTCTTTATTGAAAAAGGTTTTCTGAAACACAGAGGAATTGGTCTTAGCAGCACAAAAAAGGCTGAAATGAATGTTGGCAGAACCGATAAGAGGAAGGCTGAGGCTGGGCTGATAACAGAACACGAGAGATTTCTGAAAGTTGTTTTCTTCTTTACTCCTTATAAATAATTCTCATATCTGCCTTCTCCAGATGTATCTTGGAGTCATATTCTTTTAAAACTAGCCAATTAGCCCGTCATAAAACGGGATTTTCAGGTCTCTCCTCCACGTTGGTTGTCTTTCCTGAGCCTCTGGTCTCTCACTGCGTCTCTCTCTCCCTCTTTCTTCTCCTCCTACTGCCTCCCTCTCTCTCTCTTCTCCTCCCCCTCCTGCCTCTCACTCGGGGGACCGTGGAGCCCAAATGGCCTTTTGGGCTCCACACTCCCCGTGCTGTATGGGGAGCGTGGAGCCCAAACAGCCGCTTGCACCACTTGCTTCCACGCGGCGGCCTGGCTGAGGGGCACAGAAGTCAGCCGAGCGCCACGGCGGGAGGCGAAGGGCGTGGAGGCCTGGCTGAGCGACACAGAAGTCAGCCGAGCACCATGGCGGGAGGTGAAAGGGGGCAGGACGGTGACATTCACGGCCAGGGGGCAGGGCCTGGAGCCGCTGTCATGCCGCACGTCACCACCCCACTCCCTTTCCCGCCATGGCGCTCAGCTGACATCTGCACCACTCAGCCAGGCCGCCACGGGGAAGCACGCGGCCGTTTTGGGCCCCGCACTCCCCATGCAGCACGGGCCACCCAGAGGGAACAGTCAGCATTTCAGCATTACAGACTCTCAGACACTGGGCTACTATATATATGATGTGTATACGTTCTTATGACATTCCTATGGCCATTCATGCATGGCAAGCAAATCATTCTCCATCAAATATTCCTGCAGCCCCTGCAACTAGTAGAAATACCCCCATGGCACTTTCCAGACTTTTTACGAGCTGATTATGCATAAATCAAATAACTTTACAGCTCTTTCAGGCAGTTCAACCACCCCAGTTACAGCTCAGCCCATGTTTTTATTTCTAATTAAGAGTTTATATTAATTATTAGAGTCTCAGGAATACATTAACTTGAGCAGTGCTCATTCCGCTTTCACAGCTAGCTTTGTTAGGCAGGGAATTGTACACTCCTGATTTCTAGTACTGATTCTAAATGTAACATTTTCAAACATACTGATCGTAACGACACAGGAGCGCGCACTGGGTTCCTCCCCCCGCGCCGTCATTCCTCCCCCGCCCCCGCCGCAGCAGCAGCCTCAGAGGCCACCCCGCAAAGAAAACTACAACCCCCAGCAAGCACCGCGCAAGGTGACCCTCATAACCCGTTTAGAAGAGCTCGCGCCAAGCGTTCTCCGTCAGTAGAAAACAACTGTCACGTACCCCTGGATGCGTCCGGCAACAGCGGCCGACCCTGCCAACGGCCGGCGAGGAGCGCTTCAGCCAAAGGTGCCGCGGAGAAGCACGTGACAAGAGAACTCTAGGCCAGCGCAGCACTGAGCGTCATGTGACACGTGACGAGCTCGTACCTGCGCGTCACGCGAGGGACGCCGGAGGATGGAGCGGGTCTGCATTACCCCCTGGCGGGGAGGCCGGCACTGCAGTGCGCGTGGGCAGGTGCTGAGCGCTTTGGAGACCGGCAGCCGTGGGGATCTCATCCGGCCGGTGGAGCAAGTGGGGAGGGGGTAGCTCCACGCCCCGGAAGGGGTGGGGCCTCTGGCGGAAAGAGCGGGAACCTGTAGCCTGCTCTCAGGGCCAGCTGGCAAGCGCCTGCTTTCGGTGCTCCAGCCGTTAAGGGGCTGCTGCTGCAGTAAAGGCGGCCAGGAACTCTGAGCCAACTGGTGACTTGCCCTGCTCTCTCCATCCTCCCTTGGCTGAACAGGGAGCTGGTGCAATAGTGTAACCAGAATGGGACAGGTGTGCGTGGGCAATGAAGTGGAGAAGGGGGATTGGGAGCAATGGGAGCCTTGGAAGAAAGGAAAGGATACACATTTTACTACAGTAATATTTTAGTAATGGCCTCTTCTGCAAGTGGAGATAATATTTTGTTGATCCACTTTATTCATAATAGGCAATGTCTTGGAAAATTCAGATGAGTTCTTTACCACCAGACACTTGGATCATTCCCCTCTGGTTTGTCATACTTGGAAGCATTAAACCAGAACCCTAGATATAATTTAATTCAGCACCCACCATACACACAATTTGAACACAAGAGACCTGCTTTGGAAGAAAATTAAAAGGTTAAGAGAAAAAAAAAAACCTAATTCAGAGATGACATAGAGCACTGTTTCTTAAATTCTTTGAGATCATGGAACACAAAACAATATTTTTGTGTAACATCTATGAAAATTTTCTTCAAAACAAAAAAATTTTTGTCAGACAAAAAAAGACAAAAAGAAGTAACAAAAACAAGAGGTCACAGCATACCTGTGAGTTGCTCACGGAACACCAGTGTTCTGCGGAACATAGTTTAAGAAACACTGACATAGAGGGCAAGCATAACTATCCAGGTTACACAGAATATAAACATAAATATAAATATAATCTCAGACTTTACACTTCTATATTAGGTAAAATCCTTTGTCTAGTACAAAGAAAACCAAGAGTAGGAATAAATGGTCAGTTTTCACAATAAAAGTAAAAAGTGGCATTCCTATGGATCTGTACTGGGACCAGTGCCATTCAAAATATTCAGTAATGATTTGGAAAAGGGGAAATGGTGAGGTAGAAAATTTGTGCGTGCTACAAAATTATTCCAGATAGGCTAACTGTGACGAGGCTAACTGTGACGAGTTATAAAAGGATCTCACAAACTGGGTGATGGAGAAAGAAAATGGCAAATAAAATGCAATATTGATAAATGCAAAGTAATGCACATTGGAAAACAATCCCAACTATCCATTCAATAGCATCTAAATTAGCTGTTACCATTCAAGAAAGATATTTTTGGAGTCATGGGGATATTTCTCTGAAAAAAATCCAGTGTGTGCAGTGTCAGTCAAAAAAGTAAACAGAACGTAGGAACCATTAAAAAGGAATAGATAATAAAAAATAAAGTAGTATAATGTCAACATATATCTCCAATGTATGCCCACACCTTGAATACTGCATGCAATTCTGGTCACCTCATCTCAGAAAAGATATAGAAAAGATGAAGAAAAGCACAATGAAAATGATTATGGGTATATAATATCCCCACAAAGAAAGATTTAAAAAACTGGATCTGCTGGAAATTTAGAAAAGATAATCTACTATATATTTTGGAAATTTTGACTCTATGTCTATGGGTTTGTTCGTTCAAGAGCTCTTAAATGGTAAGAGCTAGGATCACCAGTTTTGGTAGGCAGCTTTCTTTTATCACAACTCAAAAACAAGGTAAGGTTTTGGTTGTGCCAACTCATTGGCACAGCCAAAGTGCCTGGAATTTGATTGTTTCTCATAAAATGGAAAGGGGGGGGGGGTCTGATCAGAGGACAATTATATTGTAGAATGACACGGAGGGTAGCAAGAGGCCAGAATAGGAATGTAAGCAACTAGTCGAGTCACTGTTTCAGAGGCAGCAAAGAGGTGAGGGGGAGCAGGAGCTGGTCCTGGGGAGGAGCCAGCTTAGAAGGTGGTGTGGGGAGAAGCGGGGCAGGGGAGGCAGAAGCACAGTGGTATGGAATTCACTGCGGCTCTGCTTTTTAAATGTAGTAAGAGCCCCCTGGCTCCCAGACTGCTGCCCTAGGTTCTTACTACATTTAAAAGGCAGAGGCGCAGTGGGGGACCCGGTGCGAGCCAGGACTCAGCAGATATGGTTTACGCCAGGTCCCAGACCACTGCGCTTCTCCTTTTTAAATGTGGTAAGAGCCAGGTGGTAAGAGCCAGATTTTAAAAAAGCAGAGACACAGCAGTCCAGGACCTGGCACAAGCCGGGTTCCGAACCTACTGTGACAGACCGGGCTGGGTCTGGGCACAGCTGAGGGCATTTGCTCAGGGCAAATTGCTCAAATTCGGGGCTCTCTATAGCCCCCCAGACTGGAGACCTTTCCAAATAGGCCACAAACCAATCCCACAGAGCACTTCAGCTGCCTGCCTGGCCAGCCAGCAGCCTCACAAGCAAAACCCCTACGACACCCCAGCAATATCCGTGCCCCAGATGGCCCCAGGCCTCATACATAAGTGAGGGATTTAGAAACCAATCTCTCCTTCCCTTAACAAGTTCTGTCCGGTTCCAAGAAACCAGCCACAGATCCCAGGTCAATTTATACTCTGCACCTTACCCACACACAGACATTATACAAGTACATGAATAACATATATGGAATCAGAAGAAAGTATGCTTCTATTTGACACTTCACATGGCCCCCTTTGTACCACTTTTGGAGCCAACAACCCCTGCCCCATGGGTGCTGCAGTGATCTGGCTGCTTCCTTAAAATCCAGTAACATGACACCTACCTCTGCTGTAGCTCTGCAATTTATATGTAGTCCAGTGGTCACGTAGTAGATCTTGGAGCCTTTGACAGGTGACCCTGACTGGTTTGGCCAAGAGGCTATCAAGCACAGCACTTCAGCTGCCCCTTCCCCCGTTCCTGTGCAACTCTTGCCCTTTGCCTTGGAGTTGTCCCTCCTGCTTGCTGTGCAGAGCAGGGGAGATAAAGGCGGGACGCTGATGTCAGGATGCCCCCTCTCCTACCCTGTGTTCTATTTCCACAGAATGGAGTGTGGGGGGGACAACAGGGCTTGAGAAGGATGGAGTTTGCTGGCTACTTTGGAGAGTGGTACAGAGCCAGGGCAGAGGTGAGACTGCCTTAGCCTCCCTGCCCCGCCACCCAGGGGCCACCTGTGATAAGTAGTGTCCAGCTATAACCCCATTGGGCCAGCAGGCGTTAGGGGTGGAGAAAAGGACAGGTATTTACTATATATTTCAAAGAGTTTTTATGTCTGTCCCCCAGTTGGGGGACATGCACTCCTCCCCCA